TAAAGTCCGTATCAGACTACGCATTGAAGATTGAGATTGAAGATTCAAAATCGAAATTTGACCAATCAGAATAAAGAAATTTTAGTCCCTTTTGTTCTAATTGGTCAAATTCCAATCTTTAATCTTCAATCTTCAATTTTCAATGCGTAGTCTGATACGGGTTTAACGCTATTTCGCTGCATGGGTTTGCACCCTTAGGCCGATATTACATTTGTCGTACGACAAACTTTTTAAGCGCATTGATTAGCTAATTTCTAGAGACTCAAGAAAGTTTCTATTTTGCAGCCAATCAATATGAAATAAAAAGTTTGTCGTACGATAAATGTAATATCGGACTTAAGCCCGTATCAGACTACGCATTGAAGATTGAGATTGAAGATCAAAGATTGAAATTTGACCAATCAGGACAAAGAAATTTTAGTCCCTTTTATTCTGATTAGTCAAATTTCAATCTTTAATCTTCAATCTTCAATTTTCAATGCGTAGTCTGATACGGGCATTATACAGTTTCCTACACGAAAATGTAGGAAACTACTCAAAATGGTCAAATGACCCAACCCTGCTTTTCACGTTTCCGCCCTAGGGAAAAAGTTACATGGTCGGTATCATAGACATAGTATATCTAGACCGAGTGTTGAGGAGTGGGGGCCGATGTGCACGTAGAAAAGGACATACTCTGTTTCGTGCCCCTTGCGTTCTCTCTCGCTCGCACAGAGCATAGCGCTCTCTTTCGTCATGCTACGTGCGAGCGAGAGAGAACGCAAGGGGCACGAAACAGAGTATGTCCTTTTCTACGTGGGCATCGGCCCCCACTCCTCAACACTCGGTCTAGATATACTATGTCTATGGTCTAGATATACTATGTCTATGGTCTAGATATACTATGTCTATGGTCGGTATCCTGAACTTGTCGTGTCGGGATTTGGGATCCCCATTCCCAACGCCGTGTATGTGCAAAAGCACGCATGCGCGTACAACCGATTCCTAATCGGAACACTGCTTCCTTTTCCCGTGACTGGATACAATGGCGTCCGGAGTAAGTGACTTTCACGCGGCACTTCACCGGTCGACATCTGCATCATGACGCCGATGTCGGCGTTGGATTACTGTAAAATGAATCTTGATATGATGTATCATTTATTACATTGCGGATTTTTTTTTTCAGACTTTATATACGTACCCGGAAAATTTCCGTGCCTACAAGGCCCTAATAGCGGCACAATTCTCCGGTGCTCAAGTCAAAGTCGCTGAGGACTTCGTCTTCGGCGAGACCAATAAAACCGAGCCGTTTTTGAAGAAGTTTCCGCTTGGAAAGGTAAGCCAGATGGTTTCAATCTCGCTCCTCGGAAGAATCTCTGCAATACGGTTGATGATATGCTTTTCCTCTTGTTACGCATGATGAAAGAAGTTACAAAATACTATTTTATTTTATGACTAGCTAAATTACACTATTTAAACAATGCTCGTTTGTTAAGTATGTGTATCGTTTTTACAATTATCATACTTAAAGTTTTATATACAAACATTTGGCGATTCATATGGTATCACATTGACAAGATTTTTCAATTAACCATACATGTATAATAAAGAACTAGATTTATGAATGATATCAAGTAGAATAATATAGTAAATATTTTTTAATCTTATATAAAATAAATTATGCATAATTGCCCATATAATTCATATAATGAAGTATACTTGAATATCTTTATATTAAAATTCCATATGTCTATATAATATGCATATAATAGAATGCCATATTAAGATCTTGTCTATATTGCCAATGCTTGTAAAATAATATTTTCTTATGCTGCTCTCTCATTTATGTATATATTTACTTTATGATCATGTAACCACATTAGAGCAAATACATAATGCATTATTTTTATGCGCATTATAATTAGAGTAAGAGACTGTAAAGAAACTTTGCAATATAATGATATTGTTCCATAAAAAGGAAAAAGAAGATTTCACAATACAATTATATTCTCAAATATTATCTCAGTTATGTAAAATCTACTGGAGTTATTGTAGCAATTGGAAGTATTATAATGTATGCAATTTTCAAGGTTCCAGCATTTGAAACAACCGATGGAAAATATATTACAGAAAGCAATGCGATTGCTTATTATGGTAAGACTCCTCTGAAAAAGAATTATTTTGATCTATTTATTTATTGCTTTCAATATATATTTGTTTCTTATTTATAGTGGCTAATGAACAGCTGAGAGGAAAAACTGATATTGATCGCGCATTGATTATCCAATGGCTTGGCTTTGCCGATTCTGAAATTCTTCCTGCCAGTTGTGCTTGGGTATTTCCCCTACTTGGAATAATGCCATACCACAAGCAGGTAATAATTGCATCTTTTATTTGGTTTTGCATACATAGATATATGTATCCTCCTACAAAGGCAAAATTGGCGAAATTTTATAGCCATTCTTTGTAACTCAAAGAGGTAGATTAAATCTATGTGTATTGAATTTATATGCATATGCCTTGCATGCATATGCTTTTACAATATTCTATACATTTATAATGGCAAGTTTATTTTTGTGCAATTATACTAATTATTAAATATTGTTAAAAATTATCATAATAAAGTATTAGTATAGTTAGTTAATTAAATTTATATGATTGCTTTTATATAGACTGTTGAGCATGCCAAGGAAGATATAAACAAAGCACTCACTGCTCTGAATTCGCATTTACTTACACGGACCTACTTAGTGGGAGAACGATTAACTCTGGCAGATATTTGCGTAGCTATGACATTGTTGCACTTGTATCAGTATATTCTTGAGCCAGAGCTGCGTAAGCCTTACTTGAATGTAAATCGATGGTTCCAAACAGTTATCTATCAACCTGAATCTATTGCTGTAATTGGTGCCTTCAAATTGGCGGATAAAACTATTGAATATGATCCTAAGAAGTTTGCAGAAACTCAGGGAAAAGTTAGTATTTTATTTAAAAAATATATAATATATAAACAGAAAAAAGAAAGAAAAAAATTTAAACATTGCAAATTGTCTTTATTATTTTATTTAGAGTTCAAAAAAAGAAAAAAAAGAGAAAGAGTCTAAGAAGGAGGCTAAAGAGGCTAAGGAGCCGAAGGAACCCAAAGAGTCGAAGAAAGAGTCTAAAGCTGCAACGGATAAGGCAGCAGTAGAAGATGAAGCTGATGCAACAGACGAGGCTTTAGCTGCCGAGCCGAGAAAGAAAAATCCATTTGCTTCGATGCCTAAAAGCTCTTTCGACCTGGACGATTTTAAACGTTTTTACTCCAATGAAGATGAGTCTAAATCTATTCCTTACTTTTGGCAAAAGTTTGATCCAGAAAATTATAGTATTTGGCTTGGTGAATATAAGTACAACAATGAATTAACTAAAGTATGTAGATATTCTTTTCACTAATATTCAAAAAGCATTGAATACCTTATCATTAACAAACGCTTCTTATTCATGCAGGTTTTTATGTCCTGTAATTTAATTAGTGGTATGTATCAACGGTTAGATTCAATGAGAAAGGGTGCATTTGCCAGTGCCTGTATATTTGGAGAGGACAATGACAATACAATTAGTGGCATTTGGATCTGGCGTGGACAGGACCTTGTTTTTACAGTAAGTGTTACACATTTGAATGAACATATAAGATATTTATGAATTAAACGTATGTATATATATATACATATATTTTTTTTGTTTGTTTTCTATAGCTAAGTCCAGATTGGCAAGTGGATTACGAATCTTATACTTGGACAAAACTAGACGCATCAAAGGAAGAAACAAAAGAATTGGTCAAGCAATATCTCAGTTGGATTGGCACAGACAAAGAAGGACGGAAATTCAATCAAGGAAAAGTTTTCAAGTAAATGTTGCCATATGCATCAAATAAACCCTATTTGCATGAAATAAACCGAAGGAAATGATAAAATATCAAAAAAGTTTACATATATCCTTCATAAAAATCCTAATAGAATAAACTGATATTCAGAATCTCTCCTACATATGTTCCTTCCTTTTGATCTCCATATCAAATAAAATCTCTTTTTGTATGTATATGTATATACATATCTTACAATATATTTTCTATAACTAAAAAAAAGATCAGATTTTTTAGTCGACAAATATTGTATACCTGAGTACACATTTGCAAAAGTTAGTTTTTTATTTATTTCGACATAATTTCATTCATTTTGTATTCAAGTCGCTGGCATGCTTAATCATATCCATATAATTTGAGTTACTACAGAATATCTCATAATATATTTACATGGAACAAAAGATATCAAACCTCTTCAGTAGGAAAAAAATGTATCATATTAATATATACAGTACATGTAAAAAAAAGAAAGAGAAAACAGATATTTTGAGCTCTATGTTAAGTTTATGAAAAATGTAATAATTTTATGGTAGAAATGTTATATACATATGTGTATTTGTCGCGATCAATAATGACTTACTTATTTGTGTAACATTGTGTGAGATTATATTTATGTAGGTATTTATACATATACAAATAATGATTCGATTTAATGAAAAATTTTCTAATGTGTGACATACATGTATTACATATTTATAACATTTTAACACATGTGGATAATTTTTTTGATATTGCGACGCAGTATATTTTCACAGAAATAAATATGATGTTAAAGTGCTAAAAAATAAATATTCCTATTTTGTCAACTAAAAAAATGTATGTATTAGAGAACGAAAAACAGAACATTTTTTTGTTATTTAAATAAAAAGTTATACTTATGGCACATTGATATTGGATAATTTTGGATGACAGAATATTAGAGAATGACAAATGTATTTTATAACAAAGATTTACTGTTTATTGCATATTTACATATGTTATAACAATTTATTATGGAAATATCTTTTCCTGGTGATTTTTAGAATCCTTTTATGTTCATCCAGTCTTTAATGCGATTAACGCAGTCACCCTTAAATTTAATTATACCAGCAAATTCATGTATCTGGCTAGGAGGTACTCGTCCTTTACATTTCTCTAAGTATTCTTTAATGTCACGATCCAATGCCCATATATCTCCTTGAATTTTCTTAAGCTTTGTAGTTATTTTTATTCCTCTGTGCGATCTATCCAGATACACAGGCTGCATATAATTTCTGGTACGTTCTATGAAATAGGAATAATCCGTGGGTGATGCTGTTAAAATAAAAAAAATACAAATCATTTTATAGAGATATAAAAGGAGATTTAAACGTATGTATATTTTATGTAAAAAGATGTAATATTTTAATCAAATTAATTTAATTATTATTGCTCACCACGTGCAGGTTTATAGCCAGATGATAGTTCAACATCTCCAGTGGGTGGTTCAGGTACAATTTTATATCTAAGCACGCGCTCTACATATTTCCATTCATCTGGATCTTTTGTAATTTCATATTTGGTGTAATTTGAAGGTTTAGTATATGTGGGAGATGATTTGTAGCTGCTCCATCTCTGTTGAATCTGAAAAATGAAGATTATTTATATTAAGTTGCGCATATATGTTATTGCAAGTTTAGTTTTAATAATCAACTTTTTTATATATTAAATAAACAACTCGTGCAACTTATTAATATTAAAGTAATATATAAAAAGTTTATTATCAATATCAATAAATTTGTAAAGATTACAAGCTTTTATTTTTAATATATAAAGGAATATTGAATACCAAAAATATTTTAACATCTAATTTTAGTATGTAATATTAACATCCAACTATAACGAGTAACTGTGAGAGCATATATAACAAAAAACAATAACAGCTAAAAAATTTTTTAAATTATAATTACAATTTATACGTAATTATACATAATAAATATCATTCTCTCTTTTGTTTCTCTAAATTTTCAAATATATACATCCGCAGAAAAACTCGTTATGTGGGCAATATTTGTAGGTTAATAAAACATCTATCGCTGTATAATTTTTTTGCAGATATTAATCGAATCGCGATAAAATTTTACTCGTCATTAAATTGTAAGCCAGATTAACAAATCGCATTACACATTACACAGAAGCATCGTATACATATAGGTACGTTGAAAATGAGTCGCGCTTAAATCGTATCTTTTCATCGCGTACTTTTCTCGTGTTTGAAATAATTGTCGCCCATTTATCGACCTACACAGAGCGCAATCGACGGATATTATATTCGCAGGTGATGGCGAGAGAACGAGTACACTTGTGACGACACTCTTGTACGAAAGGCCCTTCGGCCCGTATCTCATAGCGCAGGTAATTATACGATTATAAAGCGCATCGGGCTCTCGCCGAAGAATTTCGCTCGTACCTGAGGAACTATTGGCGCGACGTGACTCGTCGTCCACGAGGATTTGAGGATCGTCGCGAGGCTGCCGCGTGCGAAAATCCGAAGGGCGGCCATTTTGGGGACTCGGGTAAATATAAGGGTCGGCGTCCGCCATTGATGCGCGCCGTACGAGACGGGCGCGTCTTCCCTCTCGCGGTTAGAGACCGATCCGATCTACCTATCGCAAGAGTCCTCGTATCGTGGGACTACCGCGTATCTATCTAACCCACGGCGTCATCCGCCGCGACGTACGTTTTTCGCTCGCCCGCGAGTCGCAGGCTCGCGAGAATAGCATCGCCGCCGCCGACAACGACGACGAAGACAGGCAATTCCGATAGGTAGGTGAACGCGTCCGCGCGCTCGCTACGACGAGTTGAGATCCGCGCTTGTAACGCGAAGTCAAGTTAGCGCGCACGTACTGTAGCTATAGAAGCTATATAGACTATGGACGAGACGAGGTGAGGTGAGGTGAGGTGAGGTGAACGAAGCCCGATAGAGAAACCCGCTGTTTCGCGTCGCGACAGTTTGGGGCGCGGGTTTTTTCTTTTTTTTTTTTTCCCTTCCTTTTTCCTTTTCGGACTCGCGCCAGGGAACCGGCGCGGATCACGCACCATCCGATTTCGACCGGACGGGGGTGCAGTCCGGCGAAGTGACGCGCCTTCGGCGCGACGTTATCGCGAACGGACTATGCTCCTGGGAGAAGCCGCGCGCCACGGCCGTCAGGTGGCGACAGTCGGAAAACAGTGGGACGGCGTATAGACACCCTGCAACGGGACTGTCTCTTTCACGGGGATCGTCGTCCGCGATTTTTCTCGCGATCATCACGTACCTACGGCAGGATTTTCGGTCCCCGAGGTGAGTACTGTCGCTCGGCTTGTCGGGGTGCCCGCGTACGCCCGTCACCGGGGCGTCGCGGCGTCGCGCTGGCGCCCCGAAAACCCGAGCCGTGCGCCCGACCTTTTGTTTATTCGTGGCGATTTTTTCGCGACGACTTGTCGCGACGATTTCGCCGTCTTCCGCCGCGGTCCCGGTAGGATTTCCCGACTGGGCAGTTAGCGTGTGGCACGCGCTCTCTCGCGAGCGCGAAATTGTCGCGATCGGTCCCACGCGAGCCGAGATATCGCGCGAAATATTTCAGTCCGCGACTCGGAGACGGGAGAGCCCGAGAGCGCGCAGCTAGCGAGCGAGGCGCTCCGTGCATCCGTGTGTTAACGCAAAGTTTGTCACGTAATTTTTCTGGCCGCCAGGGCCGCATCTATCAAACCCGCTGTCCTGCCCGTTTCGGTCGGATCGGAAAATATCGTGCGCTTTTCGTCGAAGCTCGACCCCGCGTTTTATTTCTCGCCCGTTCCCATCCCTCCCTTCCTCCCTCCCTCCCCCTTTCTCCCCTTCCCCCCTTTCTCCCCTTGTCCTCCTTTCGTCGAGGAAACATGTTTGCGTCTCGATTGCACCTTGTTAACTTGTAACGAAATACATGTCGGAGTCCACGTGCTCCATAGCGCATTCTTCTCAAAGTTTTGACTCGTCATATTACTTTTAGTATAGTTTTTTTTTTTTTTTTTTTTTTTTTTTTTTTTTAATGAATATTTACATAAACATGTGCAATATATTTTTGCAATTATTATACATTGAAATTTTTACAAAATTTTTAGCTGTTTTTTTCATTGACTTTTAAGTATTTCTGAATTAAATTAGATAAATGTTGAAAATTGTTTATTTAATGTAATTTATAAAATAATTTTTATAATATTGTTGATGAAAAGAATAGTTGTAATATTTTGTAAATTTTGATAGAGGGAGAATGTTCTTTTTTTCTAGAAAATGTAAATGATATTGCAGGAGCCCAATGTGGGTGGAAGTGAGATGGCATCCAGGGAAAAGAAACCCTTAGCGCCTTCCAAATCAAAACAGAAGGCGAGTAATGACTCTGGCTTGCCATCCAATGAGGTCAAGAATAAGAAAGGCAAGTCATTGCCGAATATAAAGCAGCAGCAACTTGCGCAAGAGATTTTTGATACAGTAGCAACAGGTAGTCAGCTCTCTGTTAAAGTAGAGGCAAGCTTGCCNGGAATGCCCTTAAAAATCTGAAACGCAAACAGAACCTAAGAGCAGCCAAGGCAAATCTCATTAAGTCCAAGGTTACCAAGAAAGTGACGAACAAAAATATACACAGGATAGCTCCTGACGTTAAGAAGGGTGTTAAGACGAAAAGAGTTAAGCAATCGGAGGAACCAACTGTTAAGACAGTCGAGGTCGCTTCTAAATTCTCGGAAAATCAGATAAACAATAGAGACAACGAAGGCAAAGGAACTGAAACACCAAGTAAAAGTGCCAAGAACAATCTCAGGACCAAAAAAATCAAATCTGACATTCAGAACAAAGAAGAGGCCAGTGCTACATCTAGCATTAAAGTTAGTCCAAAACTTGGCAGAAAGGGAAAAACGGCAGAAAGTCCTGATTCTTTGTCCAAGAGTGCCAAACCAGCAAAGTTAACAAACTTGAAGAAAAATAATACCAAGGACAATCTCATCAAAGTTGTAGAGGATAATAGAGATTTGCAAAAGAGTGCAAAGAATCGAAAGAGCAGTGGCAAGGAATCAGATTGCGGTAGCATAAAAAGCAATTCTAGCATTGAAAAATTTCCAAAGACAGTTTTGGATGACAAGAATTCTATTGATCTTACTATAGACGAAGTTATTGCTTCTTCGATGTTGAGTGATTCTGAAACTGAAAATCAACAAAGCGTTACAGAGAAGACTGAAGGAAAAGTGACAAGGAGTAGGAAGATGTTGATGGATGAAAATATTGTCTGCGACATTGAAATAAAGAAAGAGCCTGACACCGATGACATGAAAGTTACATCGGATGGAGAATATACAGAGACGGATCAAGGATTCCACTTCCAGAATGCCATTCAATTGAGAAAGAGATCGAAAGTCGGCTATATCGAACATATGTCTCAAAGAAGCTTGAGAAATGGAAAACAACGACAATTGTCAGATTCGGGAAACTCCGCAGATAATGATTCTAAAAAGCGTCATACATTAAACTCGGATGGGACTAATATCTCGGATAATTTGATAGAACATATCTCGGACTGTAATACAAATATGGATTCTTGCTTTTCGGATCCCAATTGTAACGAATCTCAGACTACTGTGACATCAAGTAAAGAGGAGATTTGTTTGAAGGATGAAGTGTCAAAGAGTTTTGAGGAGGAAACTGATATTGGATTGGAAATCGAGAATAATAATAATAGTGATCGTATGGATAGAACAAGTGAAACGGGTCCGACATTACGTTCTAAAACTAAAGCTAAAACTATAGAAAACGAAGCAACAAAAGATGACGATGTTAAAATTGAAGACACACGAATAACGCCCAAGAGTGCGGAAGCACAAGAAGATTCAAAGAAACTTAATAATTTAGATCAGTCGAGAAAGGACAGTATCTTAGTTAAACTTACAGATAAATCGAAAGGTCGTAGGAGTAGTTTAAACATAGATACGAAAAAGACAGTTAATTCCTTTTACAGTACAGATAAATCGGATGGTAATTCAAAATCTCAAATAGATCAAATGATTGAGAACATTAAATTAAATATTGCAAAGTCCATCGAGAGCAAGATATTTGGTCCAGAGAAGGGTCTTGGATTAAGTAAAAACTTCGATGTGCCCAAAATCGAAGAGATTGTCGCGCCACTCAGTACAGAATCCCAGAAAATGGGATTAGAGGACAATACCGACGAAGACAGGTCCACCGTTACGAAAAACGAGATCACGTCAGATAGTTCGGAAAATTCAGTACCAAAAGTGGCCGATACTGCCAAAGAGATTGAAGAGAAACTAGTCAAGTCTGATATTGGGGAAGCAGAGACGCATTCGCAGAACATCCAGGAGAACAGGGCCTCCGATAGTGACAGAATTAATAATGTACATAATATTTGTGAATCTACGTGTAATATAAGTAATAATAATAATAATGCTGCATCTTACAACAGTATGGATGAATCAGAAATCGAGAACGTTGGTTGTAGTACAGCCGGCAGTGCCTCGGTCAATTTCGGTGATAATGAATCGAAGACATTGGACGAGAATAAGAAGATCGCTACGAGAAAGTCTTCGAGGATCAGTGATAAAAGTTCAGACAGCGTCAGTAATTCCGAAGCGAGAAAATCGAACAGGACACCGAGTAAAGCAATCTCGAGATTGGAAGATATTCCAGCGGAACATGTACAAAGACCTACAAGTGAGGGCACGATTTCAGAGGACACGATATTCCATCAGCTTTCAGATGATAATGCTGCAACTGCGTTAGTATCTGCATCCCCTCGGCAAGAAGAAGAGAGACTTACGGAAAAGCATACAGAAGCGAAAGAATCAGAAACTTCTCTAAACAATTCGGATGAATCAGAAACGCTGGAAAGTATATCTCGCGAGGTAGAGAGACTAGTAGCGGAAGACCAATCTGCCAAGTTATCATTACCAAATGCTACAAACGATACATCACTAAGCAAAGAAATAATTTGCGATACAATGGTATCGGATAAGGAATCAGGTATCGAATGTGTAAATAAACAAGAAGCATCTGCTTGTTGCGACGATAGTTCTATGCCGTTAGAATCAGCTGCCAATACTATAAACGAGATACCGCGCGAGAGCCATACGGATGGCAAGCTTGCCGATGCAATCGAGATATTGCAAGAGAACGATGTTTCCTGCAAAACAGCGCAAAGCGCGAAGCATTCTAAAACAAATAACGTATCAACCACCGCAAACTGTGATTCAAATAGCGAATGTAGCTCTGTAAATTCTGTGCCTGTACGCACGTGCACTCCCGTTCCTCGGCAGAACGACGAAACCAAGGATCGAGGTAACGACTGTAAAGAACTTTCCAACGATTTAACATCAAATTTGGACAAAAATGTTTTGGAGCAAAATTCGGAATCTAACGAAACAGATTCAAGCAATAAATCATCAGACAATAAAGATCCCGAGAAACAGAAACCTGCCAACCAGAAAAAGAGAAGAGTGTTACGAACTCGCGATAAGAAGAAGAGACAACAAGTCGCATCTCGCGGTCGAGAGTACATTGATGACGTAAAAGTCAAGGCAGAGGAAACTGTTGTGGAAAATGTTCAAAAGACGCAAAATTCCAGTCTACAGAGCGATGCCGATGAGGCGCCGCAAGGTTCATCAGCATTGGACAGGACTGTCGTTTCCGAAGATTCTCAGAAGATTGAAGATACGGGTGATTCACTCAATAGCAATGAATCAGACGACGTCCTCGAATCTCAATCCCGTACCCGTCGCAGTAGAGATATGAAGAAACGCAAGGAGGAACCGCCGTTGTCCAACAACTCCAAGACCAAGCGCGTTAAGCGAGATTCACGAAAGTCCGATCAGCAGAATAAAGAGGAGACTCTGCTGGACAACGAAGTCGCCAAGATCAACGAGAACAATAGATCCTTCTTGAACAAGTACGCCGGTGCCGAACGTACGGACAGCTTTCGTGAATTTTTCGCGGAGCACGAGCAGGACGGACTTGACAAGAAGGGACCCAGTGTGCGCAGCAAATCGGAAAACGACTTAACGGTTGGCGCAAAGAGCTGCAAAAGCGGGAAACGGCAACTCTCGCGAAACCTGTCCGAGAATCACGTGTCGAAACAGACGACTGACAACATAGATATTCTGGAAAATGAATGTAAGAGTCCCAAGATGCCGGAGCTCGTACAGAAGGATTCCGATGAGACTTCCACGTCTGGCGAGTCGTCTAATAGCGATATGCCAAAGATCTTGGAAACACCTGAAGACAAGGAAAGGAAAGAGTCGATCTTGCGAACGTTGGGGCTAGAATCCCTGGAAGAAGCCGCGAAGAGACTGCAAAATCAGCAAAAAATTAAAAAGGAGCAGTCGTCGGGCACTTTGAAGACAATCTTCAAGATAAAGGACAAAGATAAGGACAAACGGGGATCGCGATCTCCATTAAAGATGATCCTCAAACAACAGGGACGCGGGGACGGAGAGGGGGACTTACCCGAGTTCTACACCATTCAAAAGGAGGTAAGACAGCGATTTCGCATGCTTATTGATCGAATCTAATTCATTCATTCAACAAATGTTTTTCTTATCGTTTCCATTTTTTTATCTTCGTAATTTTTTTTATCTTCGCGTTTAATTTAAACCGCTGTGATATAAAATTATCGATCGATCATGGCAAATGAAAGAGATTTCTAATATGCAATCTATTGTCACTTCTTAGAGATTAATACCCTTAATTTCGTAACACGTGCTCGTTTAGTTTGTACGTCGCGTACATGAAAAACGTTTTAAATAATAAAGGGTTTAAAAAATATATCGTTAATATGCGGGTGTGTAAGCTCTCTGATGGGTTAATTTGACATACTTTATATATATTTTTTACGATCGATTCAATTATATTTTGTTTCCTTTTTTTTCAGTTTGGAACCAGTGGTTTGGGAGATAGCAGCTCTGGTGCGAACCGAAAGTTCACTACTAACCACAGACACTCTTGCGGTAATCCTGGTTGCGGGAATAACTAAATTGATAATCTCACTTACTTTTCCTTTATCGCCTTTTCCAAAAAATGTCATAATTTTTTTTAAAGCTAACTTAAGCGCGCGGTGGTTCACGTTTTCATCTCGGATATTTTAATGCAGATTATTAATGTACTCGAAATCGCGTTAATGCTCTATTTATATTCCCTCAGATTTTTTGTTCCATTTTTAAAGCTATTCGCTATGTGCCTAATGTAATTAAAAGAAAGTAATATGCACTAATCCGATACGAAATATTACGCAACACTTTTTGTATTTCAGACCACTAGTTCCAAAAACTACACTTACACTAGCCTAATATTTTTTTCATAGCAATGCATGCTGAAGAACGCTGTTGCTTTTCACCTATTACATTCTCACTAATACCGACGCCCTCGCATTATCTAAGTCGGAAGAACAATTATACGTTCGACATCTAATAATTCGCTAATTTTTATTATATCACAGATGATGATAATGAAGACGCTACACCTAAGGATCGTCAGTCGCTTGTTATTCCAGAGAAATCCTCCTCCTTTTCCATTCATCCTGGACGCGTATGTGCCGATGTATGTTCCTATTGCTTCGGCAAGTTTGGTTCCCTGGACACGCCGATGCACCTAGCGCAAATAAAATCCGACGAAAGGCGAAAGAAGATTTTGAACTTGGAGAGACATCTTACGAAAGATTCGTGTCTATGCGATGCATGCTATCGTCACGTTGATAGGAAGGTTCGTTGCTTGATCGCGCGAATCGTCATATCACTTGTAAATTAACTCTAGACGTATATATGGTTGCCATAATTCTGATTGACAATTTATCTTTCTTCTTCTAGGCGAACACTAGCCCGGCAAATATGCAGCAGAAGCCGCAGAAACAGCACAGACAATTGATGGTATCAAAATGTTCGGCTCGCGAATGCCGGGATCCTGCGCGACATCACGTTAAACGCCGTTGGTTGCTCAAGATAAAAGCCGGTCTACAAAATCAGGTTAATCTTTGTGACGTTTACTCGTGTTTAAAAATGTTTATGACAATATGACGGTGAATAGCGTATCGCTTGCGCTTGCAAACGAGAAATATTATTGCAGGTCGAGATAGATTGGGAGTCATGTCAGCACACTACGATGTCATTCTGTGTTAATCATTATCAAAAGATTGGACGCTTCTTGATGTGCGCGATGTGCAAACGCCGGCTCGCGCGAACGCACACCCATCAACTGACTAGCGCGGAGATCGATGAATTGAATCAGCTAGTCGGTCAGCAAGGAATCCCCGTTTCACTAACGGCCGGCATGTTTGTATGCAAACTATGTCGATACTTTACGCAGTTGCAGCTCAAATACAAGGACCTCGAGAACATGAACATGAATCACAGGAACTTCTGTAAGAGTTTTCGAAAGCGGTGAGTATATTATAGGCTAAATCGAGAAATTTCGTTGAAGAAATAGAATTGAAGAAAAATGCTTTTCGATATGCAGGGTCTTGCATTACCATGGAATCGAAGTGGCCGAGGACGAGGATGATGATTCGTCACAGCAGACGAATCAAATCAAGGATAAGAAGAGTAAGAAGAGCACCAAAAGCGCGCAACTGAAAAGTGGAAGTTCCAAGTCCCCGGAACACATGACGAGCGATACCTCAGAGAAGTCAACGCCGGAACCGAATAAGAACGAGAGTGTGGGATGTTCAAGCTCCTGCGAGATGGGTGGCGAGAATCGCGCTGCGAAGGCGAGCAGCAACGAAAACGGCGGCACGGATATTCAATATCTCAACAGTATCGAGAGCGCCGTGGAAAATCTGAAGAAGCGTAAGATGCTCGATATGCATGCATACACATCGACGGCCGACGGCGCGACGACGGCGAGTGAGATGGTGGAGATTCTCGGGATGGATAACGAGGTTACCCTGACGCGACTGCCGAAGAGGCCGAGACTCAATAATAGTAACAACAACGACATAACGCCCGTAGTGCAGAGACTCGGCGCGAATCCTTCCATAAGCGTACGCACGCTTTTTCCAGGCGAGGAGGAGATGAATCTTCACGTCAACATTGAGTTTCAGAACGTACGCGAAGTAACGCCGCAGGGATGGGAGAAGTGCGCAACAATGATTCAGTATGATCGCGAAACCAAGCATCTCTGGCAGCAATTGCAGCGACCGTACGGCAATCAGAGCTCTTTCCTACGACACCTGATCCTTCTGGAGAAATACTATAGGGCTGGCGACCTGATACTGGCGCCAAACGCTTCGCGGAACGCAATCAACTACTCAACGTCGGTACAGAACAGACTGATATCATACGAGGGCCCGGAAAAGATGGACGAACCGATAATGGAACCGATTGCAGCGGAATACAATTCGCGCCGTTTAAGTGGTGGCTATATGTTGGAAAAGGATAGACTGTCAATGCCTGGCACAAGTTCGATGTCTAAACCATCAACTAGCGGCAGCGGTGTGATGTCATCGCATTCGACGAAGATGAATTCACCGCGGGTACTCAAGCTCAACTCGGGGGTGTCGATTATCAAAAAACCGCCGCCCAATCTGCAACGATTAAGCCTGCCGTCCACCAGTGGTGGCGGCGGAATCATCGGTACTGCAACTGCGAATGGCGTTAAGCGGAAAGATGGACAAAGTCTATCCTCTGCTTACAGCGGCGGCAGCGGCAAAGTGTTTCAATTAAGCGAACCAGACCTGAAGCGGATGCAGTCGCTCAACAAACGGCAGAAACCTAGTGACAGACAGTTCGGTGCCGGAACGAATAACGGATCGATCGGCGGTTCAAGCTCGCCGACAAGCAGCAATGTCAGATCGCATTACCAGAAGACGCAGATCACTACAATTCCCACTGGCCACAGCCAACAGTTCCAGAGACACTTGCGGATGCAACAGGAGATGCTGAGCCGTCAGAGCCGCGGCGATTTCGAGCCGCTCATCTGCGACATGACGCGTTCCGCTGCGAACGAAAACAACTCGACCGGCCAAAATCTTATACAGAATCTTAATCTGCCCAAGTCGATCCAGGTAACGACTAAGCCGACGATGACGTCGTCAACGAACAGTCCGATTCCGATTTTGCCCAAGATCCCAAAATCGTTGACGGTAATACCGCAGACCGTCACGAGACCTGCTGACAAATGAGAGAACGAGAGACGTAAGTAGGCATTGTTGAACACACAATTTTTTATCTTCCTTTTCGAAGGAGAAGACATAGTGCGGCGAGTATGAGAGATCGATTTGCACATGCGCTTTTTTTACGCGCCCGATCGAAATTGCCGCCAAAGCAAGACAAAAGATGATGATGATCAATGCTCGGAGAGCAGTTTTTGCCTTACGTGAGCGCATCGCGGTATGCACTTACCGAGCTTGAACGCTCAAAATATACACATATATGCATATATACATACATACACATACATATACGACACACATTGATTTTGGATTACGGTTAAAATGAAACAGATTACAGACGATTTATATTTGTTGCATCAATCGTGATCACCAACTTGTAAATAGATTATATCATAATTTGTTCAAATTGTGAAACACTTCGAGATTCTAACAATATCATACATACATTAACAACCAAAACTTTATTATAAAAAAACGCATTAACGAAAAACGTGTTGAACAATGCTGTTTCCACGGAAAGTGCCTAAAGTGACGAAAGGCAGCACGGAAGTTATTAATATTATCTGTAATTATGCAATTTCGCACAGTCATTACAGATGTCAATATCCAAAGTCCTCTGGTAAAATGTTGTAAACTGTAAAGATTATTTTATTGAACTTAATTTACTTTTACTTAATTTTTTTGATCGATATACCGGACATATCTATTTTTCAAAAGCGGGGTAAAGAGAAGGATAGGAAAGGGAGGCACAAAATATTCAATATATATAATTCAATATATATATATATTGAATCTTATGGCGATTCTTAACGGTAGTTCGTTCTTCTTATCGGGTCTGAAGAAAAGATTCGAGTTATTATTAATTCAAGTTCAAAGCTGCATGCGAGCGATACTATACACCGGAAGTCATATATTTGTCTACGCAGATACCTTTTCGGGCATCTATACGACGACGACCTGAACAAATGTATATTGTAATATTGGCCTGCTCGATCTTTTTAAAAGCATAACAAGAATGTAATTAATTAAATAACGATCAGTATCTTTAGTCTAAAGTTGGTCGTTGATGAGCGCCGGTATTAGCCGCATTCTGGCATTCGCGCATCACCGCCACGTCACGTTCCTGTTAACACACATGCGAGATTCCTTCGCACCGTTTGCATTAAACTGCCGGCAGAAAGTTCTTTCCATTCACGTCATGCAAGAGACTGCGAGATAATGCTTCAAAACGATTCGTAGTGTGAATTATATCTTTAAAAAAAGAAAAAAAATATAGATAATCGCCTTTTTTCTGTGGGATATAGAAGCAAAATTCATACTTTTTCTACACTGCCCAATATATTTATGACCAAGAGAAATATTTTGCAGAGAGAGAGAGAGAGAGAGAGAGAGAAATTTGAATGACTTATGTGGATCTTAAAAATAATAGTAAATATAGAACTAAAAATAAGAGACAGAATAAAATTGCGTTCGTAACTAGATATAAAAAAAAAAGAAAATTAGAAAGTGTGAGTTTTGCTCGTATATCTGTTACGTTTGCATCACTCTATAATACCCTGCACTAACAATCGTGTGAAATTCCATAGTGGAAAAATTTTTACCACATCTTTTATATCACGGAAAAAAAACCTGTCATTATATTACTATACTATGAAATATTATTTGAATCATGATTGTCGTAAAATCGTTTTATTTTTATACATTTGAGCATTGTTCAACCGAATAGAAATAGAGAATAGATTGACGATGGGTATACGAAATTTTACGCGTTTCCACTTGTTTTACAGATCATAAAAGAATGTTTGTTTATATATGCATTCTCAAATTTTATCATGTATTATTTAATCAAATATATTATACAATTATAATCTCTCAGTTATATTAGTTATATCTGTTATTAAGATGGTGTCATTAAGATTATCTCAACTGCCTACAAATCAAGTAAAAATACGATATAACTATTTTACATCTCATTATCTTATAACTATGTATATATTACTCACATTTTTTTTTTGCGTACGTAATGCACAAATGAATGTCTTAGTATATTATTTTGAAACGTACTTGTACAATTTTAATTTTCCTTCGAGGTGTTTCATGTTTTCATATCTGTGGAAAAAACGATTCCTCCTTTCTCTGATCCAATTTAATACAGAAATATTCTTTTAAAAATTTAAGAAGCAATAGATATTATACATTAGACGAATATGCGAGAGTATGTGTTTTATTATAAAAAAATATTCACCAAACGACTAATGCATATGCTCATATATTCAAAGCACACACATAAACAAACACACACACACACACACATACACATACAAACATACGTTTATATAAATCACGCGTACGCGTGCACGAATGTACGAATAAAAACATAGGTATTACATGTATATTGACTATATATAATACCGCGTTATAAATAAAAGAACTCTTTATAAATATGATATATATATAAAATAATAGACATAATATTATATATATAATATAAAGAAAAGTACGTGTGTAACGGTATACACACATACATACATACACACACGTGTTATACATATAAATGCTTTATTTTACTAAGGATATTTTTGATATATCTATATATAATAAATATATGTATATCGAATTAAAGGAAGGAAAGCAAATCACTAGCGATACGAGTGATCGATGAATATAAGTATTGTTATATCGGGACTATGCGGGGTGTGATTATCCGAAATCGCAAACAGCTTAAGGTGGAGTGTGCCGCAAATATATATAATGATCATAAAACATGAGAGAGAGACTAATTGCAATACACATACGGAAGATTGATATCGATTCACGGATGTACATGTGTCCCCATTCTGATTTTGTTCGCCATTCTCACTATCAATGAAATTTCGGCTTCTTATGTAATTTGTTATCAATAAGAAATCGATCGCAGTGATTTTACATCGTGTTCAACAATACTGTTTCCATTTTATTGCTTTATCCTTATACAAATTTTCTATTTGAAATTTTCTTCATTGTGGTTGAGATATTTAGATAAATCCTTCCGAGAGATATAAAGTATTTGTGCGTGTTAATATTTAAGATTTGTTATTTTAAGTAATCTTGATATAAATTACAATTATATGATATCACACAGCACGTGTGCATAAGTATTTATTATTTTAATGTAGAAAATATTGTCTTTTTTTTTGTAGAATTAATTCTTAATTTTCTTATGCAGAATTTTCTTTTCAAAGTATTGCTATATATTATCTTATTGTTCCCTCTATGACGCTTAGAATGACTCTTTATAGCTTTTATTACAGTAAAAGCTGTAAAAAGCGCGAAAGCAATGCTTGTTGTCATCGACAAAAATTTATGATTCCATGCTATTTAATTATACCAAATCAAGTTAAAAGAAATTTGACAAGACTTTTCTTTATATATTTCATATGTGTGTACTTTTTTTATATTTTTGATCATTCATATACAACGAGCGAATAAATCCAAATTGAAAATATATCCTCGAGACACATTATCGTCGTGAGGATAATTAAACGATCACTTGCGCTAATTACACTCGAATATTTGACATTTCTGATTTACTCGCCATACTTTGCATGCGCCTAATGTAAATTCGTGGCACACTCCACGGTGTGGCCTCCGCCACGTATGCACACGTGGATGATGCGACGCAGGAGGGAAAGAAGAGTTTGCGGATCGCTAGCGAACGAGAACTGAGTTTAAGTTTTAAGAATTCTATTTTTCTTGCTGCACAGAAAGTGTAAATTAAAAATCATAAACTTACCTCGAACGATTTTGACTCTTGGTGATCGATTGCATCGTCGTCCTCGATCTATAATAATTATTTAATATTATCATCCACACGGAAGTAAATTCAAACATATATTTCTTAAAGAAAAGAGACAGTAACTTTCTATTGTCATTTACGGATAAGAAAAAACTGATCTCTGAACATGTTTGTTGATAGTCTATGCGAAAAGTAAATCAATAACACGTTCGAATTTTGATGATAAATAATACGTTTGAAGAAATTTTTTTTCAGATTTGTGTTTGGATGATACTTGAATATTTATTTAATTTTTTTTTTATGTTTATAGGCAAAATGGCAGCGTTCGAGTTGTGCTTACTCGATCTCGATTGCTCAAGTGTTCAATTTAATTTCGACGTAAAATCGTGGATCCTAAGAGTCAATAAACGTCCCGAGGATGTTGGAATGGGTGTGATTTCACTCAATTACAATGAAAAATTATAAAAATGCGAGTGAATAAAGGTGCTGCTACGATAACTTGAATTAGTATATAATTCATTGCGCGCCCGCGATATATAATATATAATAATCACAAGTTATATCAGATTTAAATACAGACGTTTTAAAAATGAAAAGATGTGCTTTTATGTATGCGTGTGTGTGTGCGTGCGCGTGTGTGTGCGTGTGTACGTGCGTGTGTATGTGTGTGTGAAAGAGAGAAAGAGAGGGAGAGAGAAAAGGCAAATGTTGAATGAGATACAATTGTAAATGTACAGAGCAAATCTAGGATTAAGGATGAAATTATTTTGTAATAACATATTACGTTTAATATTAATATGTATTATTAATTATATTCTGATTTGCCTTTTCCGCAAAAGAGAAAATGATTTGCAATATCCCGAAAATCGAGTTTGCTCAATTGCGACTGACCGTCGAAAAACCATATTATATCAATTACGTTTACAGTAGCAACAGCTTTCTTCACTCGCCGTTGTCTCACTTTTTTGGCGACAAGAAATGCCGATCGGGTATATATAAACTTGACATGAAAGATAACCGATTTGTGTGATTGACAATCACTTTGGCAGTGTGGATCGCCCTTCGAGGGATTCGAATCGCATAATCCCGTGTTCTTGTCGCGAAGAAAGTGAAACGACCAAAATATCGCGGCCTTGACAACGAGCGGATCTCTTCGAGGAGAGCGAAAAAAATGAGAGTGCAAGTGTGAAAAAGCAAGTATGTGATGGAAAATGGAGAAAGCGTCGCGTCACGCAAAATGTTTCGATGTTCTTTGCGTGTGCGTGGACGAGAATATTTTTCAGAAAATGGTGATATCTTGCCTCTCGCGAGAGGTGATATTTTATTAAAACACGTGGAAAAAAAAAACAAAAAAATAGCGGAAATTTTGCACAGACTTGGTGCTGAGTTTTCTTAAAAATGCTCTTTCGAAGGCTCGAATGCACGAAATCTTAAAAAAAAAGGAAAAAAAAAAAAAAAAAAAAAAAAAAAAGAAAACGATACGAAAGAAATCGCTGCGTCTGCAGTTGAAGAGAAGCAATAAACGCGCGCTTAAGTTTTATTCGCGGGTCGAGCCTCTCGAGGACATATATGATGTTTTATTACGCACTCTTAGACATCTCGGGGACACATTGAGCGTGGTCTTTTGTCTCTCGTCTTACGCGAAAATTTCCCCGAGGAAAAAAAGATATCGAGGCGGCAACCGCGAGGCGAATCGACAGAAAACTACGCTCCCGCCTCTCTTTTCGATACTCTCTTCTCTCTCGACCACGAGAAATTGTGTTCAAAAATTTAGTATCGCGGCGACGCTGCAAGATCGAACCCAGGGTCGGTGGTTTAATCGCGGAAACTATGTGAGGTTGTTCGCGAAGGGTTGAGAGAAGGAACGGCGGAGTGGATCTAATCCACTCCTTTCAGAGAAATTACGAAGATTAATTTAACTTTAATTAAAATTTAACTTGGAGATTTGTATCCTTTCGAGTTCGACTGAAAAAAAACAAATTAGACCAACGTCTGCATCCTTTTACTCTCAACCCTTTCGATTGGGTATCTGGACACGAATATGGAAAAATTCTTTCTCTCGCACTTTTTAAATAGTCAAAATATTCAAGATACAAATTAGAAGTTTTGTATCATATTATTTGAATATTCAAAAAAAAAAAAAGAAAAAGCTGTGCGAGTAAAGAATCCATATTTAGCCCATATTCAGGTCAGGTACCTTGATGAATAGATTATCGAACATGAAGCACTGCGTAGATGATTAATGATTGTGTTGGACATGACTGAATGATGCGTCAACTTGTTTGCGCGGTCGATGACTGCACAGTCGAGAATGCAGAAAGATTCCGACTCTCTTTGGTTTTTTTTTTGTTTTTTGTATATTGTTTATTCAGAAGTAACTTAGTCTAGAAAATTGCGTCTGGACTAAAGTAATGTCACACAGTGTATCTTGTACATCATCGTGTAGATGACGAAACGCACAACCTGTAACATGTAACGCGGGATTCGAGTGTGTTTTTGCGTGATCACGACGTGCCTCGTTTCGCTCTTTTCGGCTAAAGCGTTAATTATGTTCTTTAAACAATCATGGGGATGTCATCCTCCAAAGCGAGGAGGAGGCGCGAGCATCCTGTATACACGGCGACTTATAATTATTTAGGCCGACCGTGACCAAAGCGCGAATCAGGGATCGATTCACCGGGGTCGATCGCTGTAAGATATAATCCGTTAATTAAGATCCATCGTCGTTAGGGTAGAGATTTATCAGCGCGCGATCGAGACTCTTGTCTCGCGACTTGTGCTTTTAATTAAGATTAAGATTATTATTTTAAATAAGATTTACATCGCGAGAGAGAGAGATACTCTCTTGCGCCCTTGCGTATCACATCCGCGATTAATTTTACGTACGTCCTCTTAATTCAATTCTATGCGATAATATAACGCTTAGAATTATTATATTAATATCATTACGAGAGCGCCTCGCGTAAGGAACGAATTGTGAGTTCAAGTAGTAGTCAGTCGTAGCGCATACGATTCGAAACAATGGCTCTTTGTCACACCCGGCGACACCCGGTACCGGTCCCTGACTGAGAGTTATTATCGTTCCTCGGCCCCACATTAGATAAAAATAACGATCTCGAATGACGATCGGAGATGTTCGAAGCAATAATCGTGGCAGGTCGGACGATTTTCCCTTTTTTGAAAGAAAATCCTTTTAGCAACGTGATCGAGAGAAGCGGCAAGAAATTCGTGTGATCTATACGTACCATTGCGAGCGAGCGTGAAAATGATCTTCGAGGGAGGATGAAGAGACATCGAGTGCCGAGAAACAGGATAAACGGGGGGAATCCCGTCTGTACGTTCGGAGCCTTTTCTCTCTCTGGTCTCTGGCGCGTCCAAGCTCATATACACAGACACAACACATACACGATGTTACAACTATTATGTTATTTAAATTAATATTAACACACGTTAATGCTAGCATGATAATCCTTTGTTTATTTAGTTTTTAAGCGTAATAGTTATATTATTAGTTCTCTATCCTTTGTATATATTTTTCGCAAGTCTCAATAAAAAAAAAAAAAAATCAATAAAAAGAACAAAAAAACCATTAAAGTGTGTGCAGCCTTCCATTTTCATTACCACTGCCATTACGATCTGCATAATGTATATGATATTATATGACAAATAAATAATGTATAATATATATAATAATCTTGTCATTTTTTTTTTTTTTTGGTTTCTCTGTACGCGTCTTTTTCTTGATTATTGAGACTGTGGAAATTGACTGGGGAAATTGAAGACAGCGGTTATTGTTTTTGCAGTTTATTTGCAATTTGTTCATATAATTGGTAACTGATTTCGGATATAACTAGTACTAAAAAAAACCTAAACAACGTATGAAATTTTATACATAGCTAATTATCTTAGTAGTGCTAAGGCGACTATTTACATGTAAACGCATTGAGCCGTTTTACGCGATGTGTATCGTCAGGTGTCGGGAGAGCAACACACGCGCGAGTTCCGTATACACATTGCACACGGTTCTCAGAAATCTCTGGCCCAGGCGTTTCGAAGGAAGTTTGGATCTATCTGCGCATTTAACGCGTCCCAAACGTATTGCCACGGAATTTGTCTTTACCCATATATTTTTTTTTTGTTTTTGTTTTCAATTCTCGGATTATTGGGTTATTAATAAAAAATATCAGATTGTCGAAAATAACGTGTTGCGATGGATATCGCAAAAATATGCTTTTAAATCGCGAACAAGTCTTTCTTAATTGACCTAATATACAATATAATATATAATATAATATCTCCAAAGGATAGGAGATTTTACTCTCGAGAAGAAAATTTAGATTCAATTTTTTTTCGACACGTTTTGTTTTGCGACGAAGATAAATGTTTATTTATAAAAGAAGCTTCTTTGAGAGCTGAATAACATACGTATTTGTAGGTCGATGCGATATGGGTGACAAATCATTATCCAATTCCTTTTAGCACTTTTCATGAGAAATAAAATAAGTTAGAAAAAAAGTAGGATTGCATGAATGTGATTGCCGACCACGAATCAACGAAACGTGGCTGCTACGTACGTCGATAACGAGCATTGGTACCGATAACTATAATAAATTGACACATAATGTTTTCCACATCGTGCGTAATTTTAAATAATAATATAATCATTGCGATTTTGTGAGGGATATATTTAACAGTATCGCGTTTATAGTTTTGAGCATTTGTAATTTCGTGACATTGAAACGCAAAAATATATATAACATGAGAATATTATTCGTGTTTGACGAGCAATTTAAATCGAATAATTTAACAAACGCGTTTTAAATCAAGTAATTTAACAAACGCAGCAGTGTCTAAATCATATAAAAATTGCGAAAAAGAAACATTAGCAAATATTAGAGGAATGAAAATATTGCACTACGTAGAATCCGTGAAAAATTCGTGAAAAATATTCGACATGATCCAACTATCTTCAAACACGATATTTGCAAATAATATTAACACTTTCTTAACATATAACTAAATCAAAGGCGAGAAAAAGTTTAATTTTGATTAAAACAGAAAGAAAGGAAAAACGGAAAAATTTCTTTCGATTAAAATCAAATGTTAAGAATCAAATAAAATTAACGATTCAAATCCAAGTTTAGAATGTAGATAATAAAATAACAAAATATATTTGCGCGATAAAAAACGAAATTTTCATCTAATATAAAATCGCGCTTCTCGATTCGGATTTCTGCGTTGATCGCGAAGACTCTCCTCCCTATATCGTTCCAGAGAAAGGAAGAAGAAGACCTCGCGATTGATCACAACCGATCGTGCGACGATCGAAAAATAATTTATAACGCGCCCGTTACTTAATAATTCGCTAAAACACTCGGAGGAACGCAAGTTTCTCATTCGCGAAAAGTCGAATATTTTCTTCCATGATGAGCTTTGTCATTGATTTTATAATGAAATATTGCAAGATTCATGTCGTGATTTCCCGTGTCATTCTTTTCGATAATATACAGGATAATATCGTAGAAAGAGGAAATCACCAGTGAGAAAATACAGCTATTGCTCGCTGTTTCTATTCCTCTCGAGCGTAAAGAAAGATATTATTAATAAAAATGATACGATAACGTACAACAGCTAAGGCTCGTCGTGGCGTTACGCAGTAGCGTGTCTTTCTGTTGCGCTTACAAAATAGCGTTCGGAGAACATTCTCTGGAGTGAACCGTACCCCGCATTAGCCGTAAAACCTGAAAACAGTTGTTTGCGTCTCTGAGAACCGACAATATATATATATATATATATATCGATAAGAATACAAAATTTTGAATTTTTCTACAGAGAAAACTGCATCGCGAAGAAGCGGGTTTTTTATATCGGCTAATGGGAAAGGATTCCCTGTAGAGTACAATGTTCTCAAACGCGAGACGGAGAAGAGATCGCGCTTCGCATTATCGCGAAAATTACAATTTTATAATCTTTGCGCGATCTTCTCCGCTTTTCCTAGTAATAGACTACAATCATTGCGTGGAAAGCGCTCTTTAAACGCTCTTTAATTCGAAACGCCGGGAAGACGCACATCAGAATTTCGCGCGTCTTCGCGATAAAGATAAGCGCGCGTTATCACGTGTTCGCGCTTCAGCAACGTTCGAAGCGGCAGACAAACTTTATCAGAGAGCCCGACGTTTGAAACACTTTCAGACTTTGCTGGCGCAAAAGCCGCGGTTTCCACGCGCATTCGTTCGTAGTTCCGGGGACGTGCTATCTCGCAACATAATTCATCCTATATACTTAATAACGTGCTCTCTTAAAAATCTATCTTTATATGTACAAACAAGCGCATACGCGCGTGACGTGTGCCAAAGACCGACGTCGCGTCAGCGGATCACTGTAAGTAGGCACGTGTCTCCTACGACGCTTCGGCGCTCGCAAGGTGCGATTCGAGCCGCGGGCAAGATTGGACGAACAATGCGCTAGGAGGACTGTGCCGGCGAGTATACGTGAATCAGCATATGAGGATCACTATTAGCACGGCATGTCGACGGATTCAGAAAATTTAAAAACTATATACAACTCTACATATAATTCCTCTCCAATTAAATTTATAAAATAATCCGTAAAAAAAGGTCAATTTGTACAATTTATAAAGATAAAAGAGAAATATCGTCGAAAGAATACAGTTCTATAGCAAAGAAATGATTGTTACAAAAAAGGATGCACTTACTATAGAAAGGAAAAAGAAGAAACAATTGCATATACGGATAATCGGCTGAAATTCATCATCTATCATCTTTAAAATAGGATTGATATTGCCGATGTATAAATAGAGATCAAGCGCGGCATCCAAAAAGCGAAGCCAACTATTACATCAGTGTAAAGAGTACTGCAAAGAGAAATTTTCGGCGTACTATTGGATTAACATATTAGACAAACTATATCAATAATGGAATAGTTTGAGCATCAACTATTGGCATATTCGTCCGTATTGTCTCTCGCGGTAAATCTGTAATTGTTGGTCTTGCTTTTATACGATATATATATGCTACATAAAATATCAAGAATTGAAAATGAATGTTCTATGATTTTATTAGGTCTAAAGAAAAAGGTTTGTACTAATGTTATTGCTACTTAGAAAGGCCGATTAAAGAGCGGTGTGCGTTTACGGTGTTATTAGATATCTCGTAGACGCGCGTTGAACATTGAGTCAGTGCCGTAAGTAGATTATTACCAGCATGAGTCAGACTCTCGTAGGCGATGATTCGACCGAGATACCGTGCATATATTATGACGGTTTATTATATGTTACTTGGCATCCTCTTCCGTATATAAAACTTGTAATTTACATTTTTTCAAATCTTAAAATTCAAGATATAATTTAAGTTATTAATATGCATCGATCGCGGATCTATTTTTTTAACTCATCTATTTGTTAACATCAGAATCGCGAATATGTTAGTTTTATCTCATTTTGAAATTTAAATCCCAGCCGTTTTTTTATATAGCCAATGTGAGAACCAAGTATTAATGAATTTTGTGTAAATCTTTTTAGAACATTGAAACATTTTTTTTTCCTTGAACAAGAATATTTCTTTTTGAAGCCGTTTTCTAGATATTTTTGTTCCGTTTCGCGATTCTAGTGTTAATAAATGTGGATAGCGCGCGCTTAATTTTGCTCATCCATTTGCCCACGGTAAAAAATCCTTTAGAGCACTTTTACAGAGCTATCGCACTTTTGCGAGTTTTGTCCTCGGCATCGAAGACAGACGGATGGTCTCCGATGTCGCATTTGTGTGTGGCCACTCTGTCGACACTTGTCCTTCTTCTTTATTCTTTATGGATTTCCGTCTCTCATGGGATGCAGTACCACCACTGTCGGTACTATGCAACTCGATGAGATCACGCGTCTCGACGATATTACTCCTCTCGACACGTGCTCACATATTTCACTTGCGAGGATAAGCCACAGGACAATCAGTGGATCCCGGCTTATCTGTCAGAGCTCGTCAAGTGAGTCCGCATCCTTAAAAATCGCTATCCTGTCTTCGCCGTTTTGCGACATCATCGCGGGTCGCTCGAGGCACGACGCCGCCGTCTAGGTCTCCAGGCCAGGCACTAGATTATGAAAGGTCTGTATATCGTGAAAAGCGCGGCCGCAACTCTGGTTGTTGTTGCGCTCAAACTTGGTGAGGTCAAAGTGCTCGTCCAATGATTGCAGCTCGGCCAACCGTTCCTCCAGCGTTTTCGCTGAGTCGGCGAACCTGGCAAAGTCGCAGAGCCGATCGGGATCGACTACGTCGGCCACTTCCATCATGTCAGAACATGATCTCGAGAGGTGAGCGTTTGCGTCGTCGAGATCTTCGGGGAAGAGCACCGAGTGGCAACTCGTGTTGCTGCTGGCGGTCGTCGCGGAGATGTTGCTTGCGCTGCCCGATCGTACATCGATTACGCCATCACCGCCCAGACGATCCTCCGGGAAACCCAGGTGATGGTGGCTATTGTGATGCGACCCTTCCGGTTCCGGTTGAAGCTCGTCGATGTGCGAGAGCAAGCGCGGCGTTGGCGGCAGAATGTAGAAGTCGCTGAACACGTCGTCCTGCAGATCTAGGTCGTCGTGCCTCTGCCTCTTGGAAATAAGCCCATCGTTCCTCGAATCGTCGGCTAATCTGCATCAATTAATTAATGAAAAATATTAGCACGAGGATTCTTTTGACGTTGAACATTGCAATTCGACAAATTTTGCGAGAAATTTCGAAATAAAATAATAAACACTGTATAGACGCGGATATGTTTCGGTGCGTACCTCTTCCTGGAGGATGCCTCCTCATCCGTCACGTCGGAGATGAGGTTGCCGGCGACGCTGTTCTCCTTGCTGACGTCATCCATGTATGATGCCATCACCGGAAGGGTGCCGTAACTCCGCGTCTTATCGTCTCGGCTTTCCCGATGCAACCGACGCAGCGCGTTATTTATGAGCACCGATCGGCACAGGCTCGCCTCGGGATCCTCAATCCTCTTCAGCTTGACGGCGGAGATCTTCATCAGACGACGGCGTTCCTCGCGGGCGCGATACTTGGCAGATATCATCGTGGGTCGACTCCTGCGGATCACCAGATCCTCTTCCAATCTCATTTTAGCGTCTACACAAACAAGAAGAACGGGAACATTATTACAATTATTATTGCTATTCTCTCAGTTCTCGAGTACATTTTGTTAATTTAGATATTCTTACAAAAGTAACATCTTTTCTTTTGATACAGGATGCCTAGGATACATCGCCACATGTTAAACGATTGACTTTTCAATCTCTCTTGCTGTGACAAGAGATGGGAAAACCAAATGAAAAGTGCTATTAACGCAGTAAAACGCCCTACCCTACATTAAGAATATTATTCTTTTGTACGTAATAGAACCGGAATATATATAGCTCTTTATCGTAAAGACTAGATACCTAACAACTAAATACCTAACAACTTTCTATAGATTATCATAAATCGATTAAGCTAATAAAGTTTTTTTTTTGGTAATTAATAACGACGACGGATCACTATAGTAAAAAGAAAATAGTTTGGGAATATTCTATGGAGTAAACAATTTCAACGGTACATTTTAAATAATAATACATCATTTATATACCTAGTGCATTTTGCAAAATCTCGCGGAGATTTGCACGGAAACGGTCTTTTCCATACGTTTAATCGAGTAAACAATTTCTAGCGATCGATATCATCTGTATTAAGTATGCGTGCGCGCGTGTCATTTATACCATATTTATTAACCGGTGAAAAAAAAATTCGATTATAGCGTGGATACATTTTTTTCACGATGCCCATCAGAAGTTTTCAAGCAGCTACAAAGGAGGGGGGAGGAGGAAGAAGCGTAAGTTCATACTTGTAGTGCGTTGTGAGTGCGTTTACGCACTCACATACATACTACGCCGATAATCTACGGAAACGAAAGGTCTTCTCTTCTTTTTCTTTTTCCCTCTATCGTCGTCGTCGTCGTCGTCGTCGGCCTCGCTCGCTGACTGACCTAGTTACACGACAGCGCTTCCGTCTTTCCGTTCACGCAGCGCGTAAATAAATCCTGCCCGTCTGTTTCATATAGGTAGAGAGGGGGAGGGAAAGTAAAAGAAAAAATACAATATTTTATCTCGCAAAAGAAAAAATCATATACGCATTAATATCCATTAATAAATTAATTCATTGTTTGCTTCGATAAGAACAAAAATGTTTTATTTATAAAAAATATATACTTATATAAAATATATATTTTTGAAACTTTTCTTTTATATAGATGGCAATTTTTATTTCACTACGTGCCGCTATACGTTATATTCGCACATTTCCTATGCAGTTTATTGCTACTTCGGTGTTTTAATATTAAAAGGAAAACGGTTCTCTCCTCGCGCGAGCTCATTTTTCTCGCCATCGACAGGACGTGCTCTATTCTCGAGAAATGTTTTCGCGAACGAATACTTTAAATTGCCATGGAAGTTGCCTTCTGACCGGTCGCGAGATCATTTCCGGTTGTCGACGAGAGCATTGGATCGAATGCTCGAAATCGCGCCCGATCCCCGCTAATTCCCAATCTCCGCGATCGATCCTATCGCGTGAAAATTGTTAATTCGCCGTTCCATCGAGATCGTGTGGCCGACAGTCACGGTCATCTATTTTCTGGTTCTTTGTTTAATCGATCGCGCAACGCCATGCGTCTTAAGAAAGTCGATTAAAAGAAAGCTTTCGCTTGGATGGTGATACCCAATGAGCAGATATTTTTTTTTTGACCTGAAGCTTCTTTTTCTAATCCGCGAAGGTCTGGAATTTATTTTACTCTTTCAGAGAGGAATCGATCGAGTCTCACGCGAATTTCGAGATGAGGATACGTTGTGTCACCGGAAGATGTCGCGCAAAGTGTCTTTTCGCGCCATTTTTTACAAGACGAAGTCAGTCGCGTTCAAGGAATTCGGATGGCCGTTCGCGCGACACTTGTTGCTAAACCCATTGTTCGTAAAAAGATTCGCGTCCGCGATCGAGATCCTCAAGTTTATCTCGACGAAAGACTACGAGGATTTGGGACGATCGTTTCTCTCATTCACGATCCGAAAATGATTATTATATTTTAAAGTTTTCCGAGAATCGCCCATCTACTCGCGAGAGAACGACGGTTTTTACGCGCGCAATTTACAGAGGTTACCGCCATTTTTTTGCGTGGTTCGAGGTATGATTTCGCGCTTTTTGATTGATAGATAATACAAGAATTCGCGAATAAAAGTGACATCCGAATTGGCGAAGATGAAGATGGAAAGTCAAGCATCGAAAGTGTCCGTCCCGCGATTCTCATCATCGGGAGATTACTCAATTCTTGTTGGCGTAGAAAATAGAGCGAAAGTGCGGGAGAAAGTAGAGTGGAGAGAGGAATTCTCTCTGTTTTCAGACAAACTCCGGAATCATAAATCAAGGTAATATAGCAATTATATAAAGTATTTTTTTTTAATAAAGAATCTTTGATTAGCGAAAGGTGAGAGAAACGCGAAATGAAAAAGAAGCGCGCGAAGACTATAAACGTCGTAAATTCCTCGCTTCTCGATCTGCTGGATGAAAAACGACTTTTGAAAGTCGTTTATTGGTTAAGTTCGAATTCTATAATCTCACGCGGAATGCGTATATATGTCGCAAGCATAATACAAAATCAGATATTTTACGATAAGCCATCAAACGAGAGTTTTAGGACTTTCTCGCTCTTTCTCGACATTAATATTAAGAGAAGTATACACATACATACAATATATATGCCATGTGTGAAAGGGTGGGCGGAGGAAGGGTTCCGCCCCTCCCCTTGCATCCCCAAAAATTCTAACCTAACCCAAATCTAATTCTAGTTTAAAATTAGAGATAGGTTTGGGTTAGGTTAGATTTTTTTTTAGATGGGGTGCAGGAGGAAGAGCCGAACTCTGCCCACTCTTTCACTTTATAATAAAATAAAACTAATACTTTAACTATAAAACTATAAAAAGATATAACAACTCTTATGCCAGTTTATTGTAAAATGCCTGGGCATTTTATAAAATGCCTGATTTTGTATTATGCCTGTAACATATAGAGTAACAGCAACATATGGAGAAAGATTTTTAAAAGATAACAGTGCGACAACATAAGACAGAAAGAGAGAGAGAGAGAGAGAGAAAAAGGAGGAGGAGGAGAGGAGGACGCGCTGATTTTTTTTTACGAAGCAAGGTTTTTCTGGATCTTCTTTTAAAATTGCAATCGAGATCTTGTTTCTCGGTAAATCTTGAGTGAATTAATCTTGCTTTATTTTAATACGATTCACATTTTCAGGTCCAATTGTCAAGATTTGAACGGTCGATCGACGAATCTATGATTTCGAATATTTTACTCAAATAAAAATGCGAGCTAAGAGAGTATATTAAATTCGCGACTCCTCGAATATCGAAAACTATAGATCGGACGCACGTATGTCAACATTTAACTATCTTTTGACGTTGTCACGAGAGAGTAACGGTCGTTCCCCAAACAGTTATGAAAGGAGAATCAACGCGACTTTGCGAGGAAGCTCTGCTTTATATAACAGTATTCAACACTAATTGAATAAGGTGCGACGAGAGAACACACAAAGTGTCCCGCGTATTTTCGCGAGAGCCACTCGATAACCGTATTACGTATGCTTCGGGTAATCGCGTAACGGGCATAGTACGTAGTAGTATGTATGTAGTAGTAGGGCGATAGCTCGCTCATAATTCGCGGGCGTTATTCGAGCGTACGTACGGTCGACGTACGCCATCGATATTCCGCCGAAACGAGAGACGTCCGGCGTCGACGACGGCGGCGGGCGGTGCCATATCGAACGAGAGAGGCTCGAGAGAGAGAGAGAGTGAGAGGGACAGAGAATGAGAGAGAGAGAGAGAGAGAGAGAGGAGGTAGAAAGCGCTCTCGGTATTACACGCAGGAAGGAACGAACGGCGACGGCCCGTTCTCTGCCGGGGCCTTGGAAGGAATGCAGCGGATAAAAAGAAATCGCGCTCCTCTTTCGCGCGCGCTTATAAATAAATCTCGCGGACGGTGAATCGAGGGAACGCGAAATTGACGTAGCGTCGCCGACATCTCGGGAGACTCTCCCGCGTCCCTTTCTCGGCTGTCTCTTTTATTTACATGTATATATTAATCTGTGTGCTCGAATATTCCCTCGTCGCATTATTAAATTGTTTTCAAACGATTTTTTTTTTTTTTCACCATGTGCGAACAATTGTTTTTAAACGAATCTTTTTTTTCACCGAGTGCGCACAACACACTCGGTGTATGTGATACGACAATTGAGCGCAACGTACGAAATTATCGGATGTAGCGGAGAAAATTAATAAACACGCATTACAAATAAATAATAATAATCTATGCACAAAAAAATAAAAAATATATACATATCTAAATTCTGAAGGAGTTTATATCCCTCACTTGAGTAGACACAAAGCACTCTATCTGTCAACTTTGATTATTGAAAGTCATCGTCTGCTTAATAGACACGTTACAAAGCCCTATTGTCGAAGCTCCCATTATTACCGATGTTATTTTTCATGGAAATGTCTCATACTCATTATATCGATATATTTCATTCTTTAAAAAATGCCTGTTTGTCGGAACTTTTTAAAATAACATAACGATTGTTTTCAAATGACAAGAAATTACGTTATTTAATTAATCATTGATTTCTATTGTTGGATCATGCTTTAGAAGTCAGGAGAACGTGTGTGTGCACGATGGTAGAGAGGATAATTTCAGGACATCCCGTATAATGAGCGTAATCCTCGTATGGGCACATTGGATGGCTCTCTCGCGGGTTTATTAACCACCGGGTTCAATATCGCGTTTCAAATGCGTCGTAAAGCGACTTTGATGCACGAGTTCCGAACAGAGGCTCGCGGCGCGGTTCTTCATAAAACTTTACTCCTCCGTCGTAAAGATCGATAGGCCGGTTATCCCCTTCGGGATAAATTGCAGGTATCGATTACTTTGTTTTGTCGAAGGAAAATGCGGAGAGAAAGTATGCGGCTTACGCGAAATTTACGCGGAATAACTTTTTTCCTATCTCACACCTGTATATCTTTTTTTATTAAAGTGTGCCATCT